TGTATATAACAAACATAAACAACAGTATAATGAGACTGAAAAATATGAGTATCTCCCTTGGAGTCATCACCATCATTGAAGTAGACAGATTCATGTGAAATATCGCTGATTTCTTAGCTACTGGAAAGTCTTGCCATGTGCATGATGTGATGGTTCTGCCAGAGGTGCATATTTTCCTTCTCCACAAAACATCCTCCAATAAGGCATAGGTATTTATTATCCTAGTCCTCTGGTGTGCTGTTCTTAGACTTCTTGGATCTTTTAGATTTTTCCTATTCCTTCACATTTCGGGTGGCTGTTCCAGAAAAGTTCGTACAGGCTGAACAGCTGGTGTACTGGATTCAGTAGTTGGGACAACTCATAGTAAGGCGCCTGGTAGTAACCTTTGATGCATAAGAGTCTGGAAGGCCGACCCCACAATCATTGCCCCAGAGCTTCTATGTTGGATGAATTGTCAAGCAATACGTCTTTATTCATCGGCTTAAAAAAAAGATAAAAATGTAAGGTCAACCCCAGGCATTAAAGGTACTGCTAGGAACTCTATAGTATCACTAAATTCAAAAATAAAGTTTCTCACTTTAGATCCTTCCATCTGGTAGGTTTTAAGAAAAGATAGGTAGAAGGGTTAAGAACATGATTTTAAAGATTGAACATATAAGGTCAAAAGGACTCCAACTGTCAGAAAAACCCAGTAAAAAAGTGTAGGTTACAATTGTAATTACTAAGTCGCAAAAATTCTTCATTCTGGAAAATTATTAGGATAAAGTGTTGAAAATGCCCAAAATAAACCTTTGCTTATGCTTACATGTGTTCATACGTAACCTGAAAAAGAATATGATCCCTATTACCTTCTAAAAAGAGTCGACAAAAGCATTCTCGGGTCTAGAGTTTGACCAAAACCTTCTGTGGTCATCATAAATCACAACTATCTTGTAACCCTGCACACTAACTCCGCTAATGTATGGTGTCGAACCAACACAGCCCAGGACTGGTATGAAGGAAATGAATCTCTAGAAGAGAGAACCAACAAATCTTTGCTGAGGTTTTCTTTTACACATGATACAATGCTGGCACCATCACTTAACGCCATTATTCCAACCAGCCAGTAAAACCATCGCCAGATGTTAGCACTAGTTTGGGTAATGCCCTGATGAACTCCAATCCTTTTATTATGTAGGGTTTGGAAAATCTGCTCCTGCTGGGGAAAAAGTATCACTATCTACAGCACAAGTTGATTTACTTGTCTCAGTGGTTAATAATAGGAATATAACATGCCACAGTGTACATATACTTGTACAAATACCATAGAAATGTGCATGCCTGCACTTAATTCCCCATACTGTGCTTGATATGTGTTCTCTTACTTCATGTTAAGAAGCACCCATACGATTCTGGATCTCTCAGTTGCTCTTTCAGGAGCTCCTGAAGGGTGAGTTTTGGCATTCAATCACCTGTAACGCTACCTACTGGGTGGCCTTGACAGTGGAAATAGGTTCTTTATCAACTTGGTGTCCCAGATCAAGACATTTAATGAAAGGGCATGATCTCACTGTGTTGTGAGAGCCTACTTGCATCTATGTGCTAGACTACCACAGAACATTATTATCATTACAAACTCCTGCAACATTGTGATCCAAAGTATGACCATCCCTTCCAGATTTTGAGGGTTGATGAGCGATTTGAGTAATCCATGGTCCACCATGAGATTGAATTGCCTGCTGTGCAAGTACTGTATTTTATCTATGGTACTTCATGAATTCTACAACTGCGAACAGTTTTTCCTATGTTATGCAATATCTGCATTCAAAAGTGGTGAGTGTAAGACTTGCATGTGACCACTCATTCTGCCCCATATTTTAACTGTAACAGCGCTGCTCTGACTCCACTATTGTTAGCATTTGTTTTGGATATGTTAAGATGAATGCTTCCACCAAAGCTTCTTTTAATTAAGAAGAGAGGTGCATGCTTATACTTAAATCTGCAACTGCTTTAGTGATAGTGAACATTGGTTCCACGTTCTTGGAGAAATTGGCTATGAAACTTTAATCTTGCAGTCTTTACCTGCTGTAAAACCATGGACAGGTTTCAAACTTTCAATCATATCAAAACTTCATCCACATACACCAGGTATCTTTTCCATTGCAGTGTAAGCTCCATTAGCCTGTAAAAATAGAGGGAGTGTTACAAGGCCAAAGGGCATGACTTAGAACTCAAACAAACCACAGTGCTGATATTAGTCTCAGTTTCGCTCTCTTCATCTATTTCAAGTAGCCAGTATACAGAGGCCAGATATAGAGTGATAAATCATTGAACACCTTCCAATGCATTTTACATTCTTTTGTTTACAGCAACAGAAAGTTGTTAATGTGTGGTATAGCACTTAGTTTGTGGAAATCATCACAGAGCCTGTTGCTACCATCCCTCTTATTGATAATCATAGCCAGATACGACCACACAATTTTGGAAGAATGTATGATTCTGTCCATTAACATCCATATTATCTCAGCACTGGTTATATCCCTATTGTTCTAAAGGAAGCAAGCAATGTAATTATTTACTTGACCTCTCATGACCTGTTTTAATATGGTGGTGTGTGATTGTAGTTCTATCTAATCGACTATCAGGCCCAATAAATACATTGGCATAGTTAGCTAGTAGGTTGATGAGACACTGGCACTAAGTTCAATCTATATTGCTTGCAATCACCAACTTATGATATCAGGTTGGCTGGGAGAAGAGTATTTGTTTTTGGATACGGTGAGATTGAAACAATCCTAGTGTTACAGCTAGTGTCAGCAACCTTCAACTTGCTTGCCATGTCTATGACCATTCCAGTGGAAGCTAGATAGCCAATTGTTCCTAATTACAGATATCAACAATTGGACACAATTCATTCCATGGCAGATATATTACAATTGCTGTTACTAATGGATGCATTCTGTACAGAAGATAGTATGTCTCATGTATTGGTTTGATAGCCAGGTGCATGGCATCAATGCACTCGATCTGGTCCAAAGTAAACCTTATCACACCACTTGCATACACAGAGGTACTGTTGTTCCCTCTGCTAGTTATGTATGAGCAGCCCACTGTCCCCGTTCAGGTTTGGAATGACATTGAATGGATTTCTCGCTCCACTGGTAAAGTTGGCAGAGAGTTTTGTTGTATGTCCATACCCGGTATGCCAATCTCATATTCTAGGCACGTGATGACAGTCTTTGTACTGTGGTTTCTGGGATACAAGTATTGTTGTAGATATACCTCTATAATGACATCTAGTCTGCCATGGTTCACTAGAATGATGTGGGTGTCTATTGGCTTGAGCACCAGTCTTACTTGTTTACTTAACTCAGAGCACCTGATACACACTGGTATCTATTAGAGTTCTTGCAGCTCCTGTATTTCTGAGCAACTCCATCATTATACTGGGCATTCGTGCAAGACATACTGACCACCACCCAACCTTGAAATAGTTGGGCTGGCCACCACACCCTTTGCCACAAATGGGTTGTCATGGTCTCCTAAGTCAATGGCCACACTTGATTCAGGCTCCATTAATTTTCTAGAGCTTGAGATACAACAGCAACAGCTGTGTGCTATCAGCCATTTTGCATGAGTTGAGCAGTTGGTCTGGATGGATATATCAATCTATTTTACTACCAGATAAGATGTGGGCAATTCACATCAAAATGCCCTTAAGTCTGCAATGGTATCACAAGATTGTATCCTTACACCATAAACAATGTCTTGATGAAGTACATAGCTATACCTATTGTGGCACAAACATCAAGGGATGGCCTAGACAGCCCTGTCAGTTGGTTGGGAACCAGCATGGTTGTGCCATTTGTGGCTGTATCCTCTTCAGAGCCCAAACTTAATGAGATGCACTGGTTTATGTGGATCAGCTTGTACTTGGAGGTATGGTGATGGCTGCTGTCATCAGCTTCCTCTTTTCCAGTAACTTATCAGAACCTCATTGATCTATATATCACGTCAGTTAGAGTATTAATGTCTTGTACTCTCAAGTGGTGCTTCATCAACTCACTCGAAAGTCTTCTGATAAGCTTGCTCAGAAGTATGTTCAACTGCTACCATTATGGGGTATGCCTCTTCATACAGGTGGCTCAGATCATTGGTGAAGGCATCAAAGTTCTTTGTTGGACCTTGCTTCTGAATGGCTTGATCTTTCCGTCGGTTCAAAAC